GAAGAAAAATGTACAGTGACGGCTAGTGACACGGGGAAAAATCACTATCAATTTTCATAGTTTTTTAAAAAATTTCCGTTTAAGGCAACAATGTTCAAAGCCGCTTTTCGATAGTCATCGAGCAGACTATTCTAGCATGTAGCCGAAGCCACAAGCACGGATTAAAGCAAGATGGAGCGAGTTGTCAGCACGTCAATAATGGGTGACTGCATCTCAGTAATATCGGGGGCTCTAAACCAACAATCCAGGTAATCCCGGGACGCAAAATTTGATAAAAATTTCTGTAATGCTGTAAGAATTATAAACGCATACATAAGTTGGTTCATTTCGACACATTTTGCTTTTTTATATTCACGTAGTAAGAGATCGCTGCTTAAAGAGGCTTTCTGCAATCGCTGCAGTTCGCAGACAGAAGGCAGGTGGATTTCTTTTTTGGTGGAGAAAAGTTTCATTACAGGAAACAGCGACGCATGGAGAGGCTCTGCAGTAAGATATATTAAAGAACTGAGCATATTCCAAGCAATGCAAAATCTCAATTAGTTAGCGAATGCACAAAAAAATTTAAATATGCGTCAGTAATTATATTACCAGGATTGCAGATCCAAGCTAAAACAAAAGCAAAGCAAAGGGCGGAATGGAGGGGAGAGGAGAGGAAGGGAAGAAAGAGGGGGAGAAGTGACAGGGGGGAAGGGGAGTGCTTACTTCCTCACCTTGTAAATTTCTTCCTTTTAACACCTCTATTTATTACATGGTGAGGGGAGAAAAAGGAAATCTCTGGTCTTTGAATCTTCCAACTGCTGGTATTATAAAAGATATGTTGAAAAATCAGCAATGGGTAGAATATACGTTAGGATACTTTTAAATGAATGTAAAACAGGAAGAACTGAGGGACCCAACCAAGTACAGCTCCAGTCCAGGAATAACAGGAAGGATTAAGAGAATCATTCAAGTGCTTCAGATCCGAACGACGAAAAGGAGGAGTGAACTGAGTTATTAAGCATCTGAACATTTTTCTTTGATAAACTGTTGCATTTCTCATCACCGATCAAAATACTTGCATGAATGTGAACTAAAGGGAGAATCAAGAGAAAGACGAGAATGATAGGGAAGGGACTAAAGGAGAAAAAGGAGGGTGAATTGGAAATGGAAAGCTAGGAATAGGCCTATATACCTGCTTGGGTGTGCGGCCCATTATCGGACTTGAAAATTAGAACTCGCACTTGGTCTGCGAAACACGCCTGGGTTACTTACATGTAGATGATGGATTTAGAGCAATCAGTTCCAATTCTCGTCACTCTCTGTGGAGCTGCTCGTGCAAAAACCGTACTATTTAAATTTCCATTTTTTTTTCTAATTCGAAATGTCAGTTGACGGTATGCACTGAGTTACAGTCCCCTCCCCCGAACTATTAGTATTGGGAGGTCGTCATGTACTTCATCCTCTTTTGATGTTACCGCTCCTCCTTTTGTCTTCTTCAAGTTAGCGTCGCGCAAAACAACAGCAACTTTTGCTAAATGACGGCTACGACAGCTGGCAACATCCAGCATGTTTCTTTTTCTCTGGAAAACAGTCACAAATTTTTGCCTCATTTTGAGAAACAAACATGCTCCCAAGGGACTAGCGAGCGGGCAAATACAAAACCGTTTCTGTAAACTTGCAAAAATGCCACAGAAGATGGCGGGTTGCGCACATCCTCAAAAAACTGGAGTTCAAAAGCACAAAGCAGGCAGCTGGATATCACAGCAAAACGGATCAAATTTAGGTCTTATCTGACGAGGTATTCCGCCTACACTAGTTACAAAGGATATTTAGTGACGGCGCCATTTACTTTAATTATCATAGTGGCCCATCACCTCTCTCTGTCATCACTGCCATTATCACGCTCAATATCATCGTCATCTTCACAGCCATCGTCAACGTCATCGTCCTCAGTAGCACTATCATCGCTGCCAACATTATCGCAAATGATTTCGAAAAGTTTCATTTCTCTCTGCGCTAAGTTTGCACTTCCGCTGTTGTTACTCGCAAACCCCCGCTTGCGCGAGTGCCCACCGCCCGGATATCGCTCATTCCATTGCGTAGCGCCGTCGCCAGCGTCTACACAAATGACATATGCACATACGTACACATGTACATTTTTGATGTGGATATATATATATGTGTGTGTGCGTGTGTGTGTATGTGTGTGTGTGTGTGTGTGTGCGTGTGTGTGTGTGCGTGTGTGTGTGCGTGTGTGTGTGTGTTTTTGCGTGTTTATATGTTTATTAGGTGTTTCTTTGTATGCGCATATTCGTATATCCGTGGTGTACTGTGTGCGTTTGTATTTGTTAGTGTGTGACGTTCATGTGTTTGTCTGTTTTTGTGCATGTTTTTGTGTCTGTGTTCGCGGTGTGTGCGTCTCTGTGTCTAATGCATTTGTGTATGTGATGTTTGTGTGTGTATGTTGTGTATGTGCACTACCAATGGCGATTATGAGATGAATCGATGGACACTTTTCTTGCGTTGTCCTGCCCATCCGGTGTACGGTAATGGGCTTCGCTGTGAACAATCTCGTTAGGATAATTATCAATCATAATTAGTGGAGAAGCATAGCTTACATACGGCGCATCCCATCCTCATAAATGCTTATTTCGCTAACGTTTGGTAAGCGGACATTGGTCAGCGGCTGCCACGGTAAAGCAACCAACCAAACAACTTCCCAAGAGGATGAGCATCATCCTGTGCGTACACGGTGTATTTAGAATTTAAGTAGGTAGCCTCATTCTGGCGCAGCTGAGCCAGCTAAATAACTACATCTGGATAACACGGAAATTCAGACACAGAGAAACCAGTGGTCACTTTACATTTATGAGCTGGAAAAATCAATATCATTTATAGTGCTAGGCATATGAACTTTTGTTCAGTGTCATATAGATTTGCTTCTCGCTCTCCTTCCCTCGTCTGATGAGTTAACTCTTCCACCAAAGGTCGCATGCCGGG